TATATTGTGCTATATAGAATTATATATAATGAAAAATCGATATGTGTACTGTGTTGAACTAAATTATATATATATATATATATGGGATCTACGGACAAGATTAAGAGTGTAACTTACACTGGTATAAAATGATCTTGACCCATATATATATATATATATATTGTAATCCAAATTTGATCATAGATTATTGTATTTGCTTACAAATTATTATTTTTTATGAATTTTGTACATGACAGATTCGATACAATGTCGGTGTACGTATTTTACGAGTTTTCATAAAAAAAATTATACACAACGAGAAAACAATCCTAGGAAGCAACATATCTGAATTCTGAGTGAAGAAACCGGCAATATCCTCAAGGACAAGTATGCCACGCACTGCCGGTGGGTACTGGAGAACATGAATTCCATGGCCAGATACTATGCATGTTGTTATTTGAAAAATTAAAATCTAATAGGCTTTTATATGAAATCAAACTAAAGCATGCATACATTTATGAAAAAAAAAAAAAAAAAAAAAACTTCTTCTAATTTTTTTTCCCACCGGCAGATTGAAAAAGAAATCCACAGAAAAAAGGAAATGCAGTACCAAATAATTTTATTATTATTTTTTTATTTCAATTCAATATTTGGATTTTAGAATCAAACACGCACTATAACCGTAGATATACTTAAAAGAAGAGAGAGAAATTATCTTTTGTTAGATGTTTTTTTTTACTAAATGCTTTTGCTACCATATTAATTACTTGCGTCAATTAGTGTTTGATGCGACAAAAAGACTTCGAATCCTTTATAGAAACATAATTTAAAGTTTAATTGCTAAATTTATGTATAAAAGTTCAATGTCATGACATATCTTCACTAACATAATTTAGCCTTTTTAACAGCACCTCACACACTTTATATAACTTGTAGATCCACCTCATACTTATTGTTGGATTAAGCCTAGGCTTTCTCCCTCGCGTTACTTAGGCCTCGTTGATCACACACCATCCTTTTTTCTTCATCGTATACATAACGAAAATTATTACTTCTCACCCTCAGTTTACCTCACAAAAACCCAATTTTGATCTTAACATAACTTCAAAGTCAGCTTATACATTAATTCACTTACGAAATTATACATTATTTTTTATTTTGGAACACGAAATTATACATTATTAGTCATACTTCAAACCAACTTCTATCTTGTTCAGTAAAAATATTTTTTTTAAAATCATTATTTTAAGAAATAAGCTTAATGGAGCTGCAATTAGTTTTCTTTCTTTCTTTTAACGAAGCGAATCTTCATTAAAACAGCGACATTTCTATGGTTTATACTTTCCAGAAAACGAGCAACTTGTCAGATAGTATTTATCGTCTCTTCCCTCAATCACTATTATTTTGTCACCTTCTAAGATTTTCCACGCGGTCCCTCCCCATTTGTGTATTCAGCACATTATATAAGTCAATTTCGGCGGCTAGACGCTTCCGTGTTTCGTTGGCTCTGCTCTCATGTCTCCACTTCCCCCGTTTGAATTGCATCATAAATCGCCAAATCTATATTATATTTATGTATAAAAAATCAATATTAACACTAGGACTTTTTTTTTTTGCTAGGATAGTAAAATAAAAAAAAGACCCCGCTATTAAGGAAATAGAAGATTATGCATTAATATCCACGTAATACAGTCACGTAAGTTGTGACATGTAATATTGGCTGAATAATTTCTTTCTTTCTTCTTTTATATAAAAGAAACAAGTATTTGGATAAAAAAGAATAACTGAGGGAGAAAAACGATTTGAACGAGCGACATGGCATACTTTTTTATAAACCATCGCCTCAACTAATTAAATGTTCAACATCTGTTTACCCAAAAAAATATAAAAATTCAACCTCTTAATAAAGATGTTTACTTACCAACTCTGACCCTACATTGGATCTCGATAAAGCAAGATATTGGCCCCTCTTAATAATTCTCGGAACATCGACTAAAGTGTAATTTTTCTTGTAAATTTTTTATTCTCACCTGAATAATATTTTTTATCAGATTTTTAATGTGATGTGATTCGTTATGATTGGTAACGAGTTATGTTTGTCAATAATTTTGTAACACGTGATATGTTTTTGCAAAGAAAAACTAACTAGACGAAATTTGTTACTAATATTAGCAAATTTGGTACACAATGTGGTCACGTGTTATGAAATTATAAGCGAACGTAATTTGCGACTAGTTATAACAAATTATATTATATAACAGTCTAATAAAAAATATTATTCACATAATATTTGAATAAAAAATTTGTCAAAAATAATGATACTTTCGTCACTGTTCCCCAACTCATGTCTCTAACAAAGTGTCATCTCAATAATTAGAATTCATGAGTTCGACTCTAATATTATGTAAAACAACCATTCTATTCAACAGTTCAAACTGATTTTTTTTTTTTTTTATCGGCTCAAGCGTCGTGATTTGATTTGATTTCAATTTTAAAGTGGATTTTGCCAAGGCAAGATATTGGCTTCTTCAACAATTTTTTAATCTTAAAACCTAGGCTGTGTAAATTGAATTACAATTTTGTGTGCAGAACATTTTCTATTTGCATTGTCATGTATGATCCGTCGTAAAGTTTAAAAGAAGAAAATTATGTATCTACTTTATGTCAATGCCCGGGTCAAAAGCAGTAGAAAACACTAACTTGCGGGTCCCTTTTACTTATATACTAATTTAATCAAGGAAAAATTGTGTATCATTTTAAAGGATATAAAATTATGTCATTTTAAGTGAGAGAAAGAGATAAATAAAAAAAAAAAAAGAATAGACAAAAAATATAAAAGTATGAGTCTCACCTCTCTTTATAAGAGTAAAAGAATATAAGTTGTGTCATTTAGAAAGAGAAACACTTTTACCTTTAATCAAACCCGTTTACTTATTTAACTACTCCAAAATTTGACGCACTCTTGTGGTTAGTCATAATTAATTTGCATACTATTAATTTCCAACATTAAAATGGGAGTAAATATGGAGCGTATTCTTTGTTTGGTTTATATCTAATATTTCCTTTACCAATAATTTTTTTTATTACAGAATTAATATTATTTTTTTAAGTCAAGCCCATGTCTGTTTTAACTTTATTTAAATTTTTTTTATCAAAAATTAATTATTATCTTTTAAATATTTAATTTAAACATTCACCAAAATATTTATTAATAAAACAACCCACTTAATTCTCGTGTCTTTATTTCCTTTTAAATTCTCCGTATGTTGGTTGGTTAAGTAATGGATCGTTTTTTATTACTAAATATCTCATGTGTAATCTTAAGCGCCAACTATATATATGTAATGATGTTGCGCATTGTTAAAATTTTGATTTATTATTACGATTTTTTTTTCATCAAAACGATTTTACTAATATTTCAAACGCTTTCACATTTTTATGATTTTTTTACATTACGATTTTACGGTTTACGATTTTTTAATCTCTTTCCGATCTTATTTAAGATCTCAATTTTAACATTGCGTACTTAAGAGTAATTGTGTTTTTAGGTATTAATCTAATACTTGAACTCGAACACATAAAGTAGAAAGTATGACACTCCCTTAATTACTAAGTCAACTTCTTAAATTCTAGCTCTAAAGTTCATTTAAAATATTCTAATTCAGTAAAGTTTTTATATTTCAGAGTAATCCCATTGTCAATGAGATATATGACGTGGGAGTGCATTCAATCGGATAATAACAAAAAGAAACACTGCATTCATTTTAATAATAAGGAAAATACTATTCTTTGGCATAAAAACACTGTTTTATTCGCGCTAATAGAAAAAAATAAGAGAGAAAAGAGATTATGGTGAAAGAGAAAATATGACATGAAACCCTTCCAATTTTACTATCCGCAAAGAATATTATTTTCTTTTCCTGTGACAGAAGAAGATCATTTACCTTAATAATAATAATATAACTTAATTATTAGTGAAGGTATTCGCATCCCCCAACAAATTATTATTTTAATATCATTTTATTTTTAAATAAAAGATAATAAAACAAATAGTCCAAAACCATACTCTGTTTATTTTTATTTTTTAAATAAATAAAATGTGAAAAATGTAAATATTTTGATGTATAAATATTATTTTTACTGAATTAAACGTAACTAATTTTTTGAGAATTAAATATCTCATTTTGTTGCTTATAAAAAGCAACACCATTTAAAAATCACCAGAATTTTAATGGTACAATTAATACTCAATTGCGTTGGTGTAGTTTTTGACTTTTTTCATGGTTGTTATTTACACACACCACACGATTTTTTTATTTTATTTTAGGAAAATATTAGTTTCAAGTTATAGAAAATTAATATCTCATATCATAAATACTTTAATATTTATGTTATCATTTTTTTTTCTAATTATAACCCCACCACTTTATGTCTTGGCCTAAGATGAACTTTCTCTTGCAAGATAAGAGTAAACAAACTCTTTTTTTAATCTCCAGATGAGGTCGGTCTTTTTTCTTTTGTATTTATCTTATTGGTAATAGGGTGCTATTTTTTAAGGCAATCATTGTTTCCGTCTTCCGAGTTCAAGTCAATGGCATGTATGTACATTGGCTGCTTCAGTAAGACAGTAACCGTGCACATCCGTCGACTTGGTGGGTCTTCTTCCACACAAATGACAAAACCTCATTGGAGAAACGAGAGTTAATGGATCAATTATTTTTAAAAAGAAAAAGAAAACACGTGAGTGCTTTAGGAAAAGAAGCATTAACAATCAGCACTCGGGTGAAAACATAAACGAAGAAAGGGACCGTTGTAACAGAAATACGAATTACGACAACAACCTTTTAAACCATAATCCAACGATGTCGTTTTACCTCAGTGTGTGACATCGGCATTGGCAACTTGCTACTCCAATGAGCGCCACTTTCTTTGTCTTCAATGTAACTACTTAACGCGATAAGACCCAAAATAAAAACTATCTCATTGTTTTTTCTTTTTCTTCTGCTGCACTCTCCAAAAACATGTTCGCCGCCTTTGCTTCCCCGCGAGTCCTTTATCCACTTTTTCTTCTTCTTCTCCTCTCATTCTTCTCACTACTCAACAGTGTCAAATCTGACGAGCGTCAAATTCTACTGAAACTGAAATCCTCACTTGAGAATTCAAATTCAAATTCAAATTCAAAAGTGTTTGACTCATGGAATGCAACCAATTCCATATGCAGTTTCAAGGGTATCACTTGCAACTCCAACGGTTCCGTCACCGAAATCAACCTTTCCAATCAAATGCTATCGGGGGTTCTCCCTCTGGACTCGCTCTGCAACCTTCAATCACTGGAGAAGCTCGTGTTCGGTTTCAACTCTTTGTATGGAGGAGTTGCAGAGGAGCTTAGAAACTGTGTCAAGTTGCAATACTTGGACTTGGGAAACAACGTTTTCTCGGGACAATTCCCTGATATATCTCCTCTTAACCAATTACAGTACCTGTTTTTGAACAAGAGTGGAATCTCAGGAACTTTTCCTTGGCAATCCCTTCTGAACATGACGGGTATGTTGCAGTTGAGTGTTGGAGATAACGCTTTCGACCTCACTCCTTTTCCCACGGAGGTGTTGAGCCTCAAGAACCTTAACTGGCTCTACCTGACGAATTGCACCATTGGAGGGAAAATACCGGTTGGGATTGGTAACCTCACGGAGCTTACCGAATTGGAATTTTCCAACAATTTCATTTCCGGTGAGTTTCCCGCGGAGATTGGGAACCTTGGGAAACTGTGGCAGCTTGAATTCTACGACAACTCCTTCAAGGGGAAGATTCCGATTGGGTTGAGAAACCTCACTGGGCTTAGGTATTTTGATGGTTCCACTAATCAAATCGAAGGGGATCTCTCTGAATTGAGGTTCTTGACAAATCTGGTTTCTCTTCAACTTTTTGAGAACAATTTGACAGGGGTGATTCCACCCGAGTTTGGCGAGTTCAAAGACCTGGTGAACCTGTCTCTGTACAGGAACAAATTGACGGGTCCTATTCCTCAGAAGATTGGTTCTTGGGCAGAGTTCGATTTCATCGACGTGTCGGAGAATTTGTTAACCGGTCCTATTCCGCCGTATATGTGCAACAAGGGGAAGATGAAAGAGCTGCTGGTTCTTCAGAACAACCTCACCGGCGAGATTCCGGCGAATTATGGAAACTGTTTGACTTTAAAACGATTCAGAGTGAGCAAAAACTCGCTCTCGGGAACCGTCCCTTCTGGGATATGGGGATTGCCCGAAGCTGAAATAATCGATATTGAAGAGAATGAGTTAGAAGGTTCGGTTACTTCAGATATCCAAAACGCGAAGACGCTTGCTAGTATAATCGCCAGAAGGAACCGGTTATCCGGGGAAATACCAGAAGAAATCTCAAAAGCGACGTCGTTGGTGAGCATCGACCTGAGCGAGAATCAAATTACGGGGAACATTCCAGAAGGAATTGGCGAGCTTAAACAACTCGGTAACCTTCATTTACAGAGCAACAAGCTATCTGGGTCCATACCTGACTCTTTAGGTTCGTGTAACTCCCTCAATGACGTGGACCTGTCATGGAATTCGCTCACCCAAGATATCCCTTCATCGTTGGGTTCCTTACCTGCTCTGAATTCTCTTAACCTGTCACGCAATGAACTCACCGGTGAAATCCCGGGGAGTTTAGCGTTGCTCAGGCTCAGCCTCTTTGATCTATCGCATAACCAATTGAAAGGTCCAATACCACAAGCTCTAACCCTTCAAGCTTATAACGGTAGCCTCACCGGAAACCCTGGTCTCTGCAGTCTCGACGGAATTAGCTCCTTCCCTCGTTGCTCTGATTCCGATGGCTTGTCCAAGGACGTTCGCACACTCATCATTTGCTTCGCAATAGCTTCGATCTTGTTACTCTCGTGTTTGGGGCTTTACTTGCAGTTGAAGAAGAAGAAGGAGGAGGAGAAATATGGAGGAGGAGGAGAACGTTCTCTGAAGGAAGAATCTTGGGATGTTAAATCCTTCCACGTGCTAAGTTTCACGGAGGATGAGATTCTGGATTCCGTTAAGCAGGAGAATCTCATAGGGAAAGGAGGTTCTGGGAATGTTTATAGAGTCACTCTCTCAAGTGGGAAAGAACTCGCCGTTAAACATATCTGGAATACCGATTTCGCCGCCCGGAAAAAGTCTTGGAGCAGCACTCCGATGCTCGGAAAGCGCGGCGGGAAGTCGCAGGAATTCGATGCGGAGGTTCAGACCTTGAGCTCGATCAGGCACGTGAATGTGGTGAAGCTTTATTGCAGCATCACGAGTGAGGATTCGAGCTTGTTGGTGTATGAATATTTGCCAAATGGAAGCTTATGGGATCGGCTTCACACGAGTGGGAAGATGGAGCTTGATTGGGAAACGAGGTATGAAATTGCGGTTGGTTCAGCCAAAGGTTTGGAGTATCTGCATCATGGGTGTGAGAGGCCTGTGATTCACAGGGATGTTAAGTCGAGTAACATTTTGTTAGATGAGTTCTTGAAGCCTAGGATTGCTGATTTTGGACTAGCTAAGATTGTTCAAGCCAATGTTGTCAAGGATTCTACTCATGTTATTGCTGGAACCCACGGTTATATTGCTCCGGGTTAGTACACTGTATAACTCTTCTTTTCTTTTCTTTTCTTTTTTGTTATTCTTGTGTGTGCTATTTGTTTCCCTTATAATGTGTGATTACGTGTATTAATGTATGAATGTTCAAATTGGAGCAGAATATGGGTACACTTACAAAGTGAATGAGAAAAGTGATGTGTACAGCTTTGGAGTGGTGTTAATGGAGCTGGTAACTGGTAAAAGGCCAATTGAAGCAGAATTTGGAGAAAACAAGGACATAGTAAGCTGGGTGCATAGCAAGACACAAAGCAGAGAGAGGTTTACGAGTGCAGTGGACACGAGAATCCCAGAGATGTATAAAGAGGAAGCTTGCAAGGTGTTGAAAACAGCAGTTCTCTGCACGGCAACTCTTCCAGCTTCAAGGCCCACAATGAGAGCCGTGGTTCAAATGCTTGAGGATGCTGAGCCTTGTAAATTGGTTGGAATTGTCATCACCAAAGACGGAAGTGGAAAGAAAATAGGAGTGAAAGACAAATAAAGATCTTCCACTGACTGAAGATTTTTGGATCATCAATGGGAACCACCTCCACTAGTTAACTATAGAACGTAAATTTTACTGGATGGAGGAAGCACTGTAAAATATCAGTCTCAGCTTAATTAATCTGTATTTTGAAGTGGAAGACTAGCATGGGAAAAGGGTATCTATCCACCTAATATAATCCCAATAAAAAGGATGCAAAATCCTTTTCCTTACGAATGCAGTGAAAAAAATAATCCAAATGTAGAATTGGTTTTTCCTGATTCCAATCTATCATATTGTAAGAGGGTTGTGACAAATGAATATTCCTTCCACTTTTTCAATTTCGAATAATCCAAATCTAATGCAAACTCAAAAAATACAAGACGATTGTGAGATGTGACTTGTTAAACAGCAGGAAAACTTTCGGTACAATAGCTATAGGTACATTTATGTTGAAAAAAATAAGAAACCTAAACGGAATTATAAAGAAAAGTATGAATAAAGATAAAAAGAATAATTAATAAAAGGGAGTACCGTCCCATAGTACTAAAAAAAATTGTGTAAATAGCGCAGAAGGAGAGAATGAAGGACAGCGCTAATATCTCAAAAAAAAAAAAAAAGGAAAGAAAGAAAGGACAGCGCTAACTGAATGCTTAATTTACATTTATGAAAATGTCAAATACCTAATCCCTGAAACTCCGATAGTATGTTCATGCATCTGATATTGAATGTCGTGAATTTCTTGTATTGTTCAATGTCATTGTCGCTGTCTTCTACTCTTCTGCCTTTTCTTGTATTATTCATTCGGAGTATGCTTTGGGGTTTCTAGACGTGGCCATTAATTAATTAAAGTAACCACTAAAAATAAATCAATAAAAGAAAGTGTTAGACATATATAAAGATTTTTATACCACAAAAAAAACTAATTAAATCCAAAAAATTAAGTTTTTAAATAAGATTACATTAATAATTTTTTATATATCCATAACACGCTCCTTATATGTGAGCCCACTGGACTTGAGGGGAGAATAATACATAAGCCCACTTACCTGTGCTAAGAATTTTCATAATAGAAAATGGAAGAAAGTGATGATCGAACCCTGAACATCGAAGCACTAATACCATATAAAGAATCAAATCAACCCAAAAAGTTTAAGTTGTTAAATTGGGGCCTCTTTAATGTTAATTGTATCAGAGTTTCGGTATCCCGAATTCAATTCTCGCTTCTCTTATTTTCTTTGTGAAATTTCTTAGCAGATGTAGGCTGATACATCATCCACTTACAAACCAAATGGGCTCTTTTGTGAATGAGCGTGTTAGAGATATATATAAAATCATTAATGTACCCTCATCCAAGAGCTTCTTAAGTTTATGAATTAGATTGATTCTTTACAGAAAGAATAAAAGAAAATCTCGAGAGGACCCACAAAAAAAATTAGATTCATGACTATAAATTAAGTTAGGGTGTAGAAGAATTATTTTCTACTACTAATGACCCTTCAATTTTTGTGCAGCATTTTTTTTAATAGATGTGGCCTTCATATATGTATATATTATGAGAAAATTTTCTCCTACTACATTAGAAAATTGAAACCCGTTAAGTTAATGGATCATGTGATTAATAAATTAAAATCATACAATTATATATAACTAGATTAACAATTGACATAATTTTCTTAAAACAATTTTATGACTTCATCTTGAACTGGTCACAAATCGGACTAGTCGTGAAACGATGAACCGATTGAAATATTTTCAAAAAAATTAACAATTGACATAATTTTCTTAAAACAATTTTATAAAATATTTTCATTTATTTAAAAAATATTTATAATTTGACAAAATTTAAAAATAACGTTCCCTCATTCTTGTTTAGCTGATAAATTATTTGTCTGGTTGGTTCTTTGAGGATTAAAAAAAAAATTAAATAAGGATTCTTCAATTCTAAGTTATGAAAGGTTCTTCACTCCAAAAATCGCCATCTACTTTTGTTTCCTTTTCTTTTTTCCACCAAGTTCATTTCGTTAGATAGAATAGAAACACAAGGCCCGGTAGGTTACCAAAAAAAAACACAAGGCCCGGCCCAAAAACCAAGTACATCTGATATACAAAGACAAAAGAGAAAGAGCGCACGCTGCCTTCACTCAAAAGATCGGACATCTAATTGTGTTCAGAATAACAATATGGGCTGTTGGGTAAGAAAGGTATCCAACATAATTTGGGCCTGTTATGGTGACAGAAGAGGGTTACAGCTCATTACACTGAACACAGGAGAGAAGGAAACAAAAACCCAAAAGGCTAAAACCATGGGCTGACGATGACAAGGGGATTAAAAATAGCCCACAAGCAGATGGAGCCATGATGAAACTGATGACAAGAGTGAACAAAAATCATGTCAACCCAAAATGCTAATGGCCTGGTACCATTGTCTTATGGTTGTGAGTTATTAATTCCTCGGACCAAAATGTCATTTTTTTGGCAAAAATTTTATCCAAATATCACGCGAACAGTATTTTTTACCAAACTGCCACGTTTCATAATTCGCTATCACTGGTAGCGAATTTCGTGGCCAATAATTTCGTGACACGTGGTCATATTACAGACCACCAACAAAAAGCCCAGAGCAAGGGCTTGGGGGAAAGAATGCCGCTACCAGTGATAGTAAATTATAACACGTCAGCTTTTTCCTGCGAAAGTGTGTCACGTGTCATAAAATCATTGGCGATCGTAATTTGCTACAAGTCGTAGCGAATTACGCTCATGTGGCAGTCTAGTAAAAAGTATTGTTCGCGTGATATTTGGATAAATTTTTTGCCAAAAAATGACATTTTGGTCACTGTACCTAATTCCTCAACCCCAAAACCCAACAAAACGTACAAAACCCTAAAAAAATCCAAGCGAGATTCAACTATGGTTCATACGGGCATGTAGAGTTAGTGAAAATAGAAGACAGAACCTGTTGGGTTTGGGTTTGAGGCTTTAAGCCCAAGGATAGTCATAAATCTTGTTGGTTTTCTTGTTATGCTTTAAGGTAAGGCGAAAAGGATTCACAAACAAAGAACTCACTCAACAAGAGCCTCAAATAGCAATCTCCATATGTTTTTATTCAATAATGTCTTAAACCTTCCGACCTATGATGCACGGACACTGACACGAGACACGTCAGGACACGACATGCCGACACATTAATTTTAAAAAATGACATATTTTGATACGCTGAGACACGTCTTGATATTAAATAATATTTTTAATATATGTAATATAATTTATATTTAATAGAGATAACAGTTCATAATAAGTCATATAACTAATCAAGTATTCAAATTTCATAACATAAATATAAACAAAAATTATTTTTCGTACCTTGTTAATTTTTCATGTCAAATTTCATAACAGCAAAAAAATTGATTTATAAATGATTTTTTTATTTTTAGTTAATAAAATAAAATTAAGATTTAAAAAAAAAACGTGTCCGAACGTTGACAACATGTCAAAAAAAGTTGACTGCATGTCAAAACGTGTCGAAGAATTGACTACGTGTCCCAAAATATTAACCGCGTGTCAGAACATGTCCGTGTCAGACACGTGTCCGTCACCAACAATTAACAAAACAACACGAGTCCGTCTTTCGGAGGTTCCAACCACTTGATTCCCCGTTGCATGCTGTTCAAACTACAAAATAGTAAAATCCAATATATGTTATCAATCATTTATTGTTACTGATTGTATTTAGAGTTTAACTTTGATGTATTGTAGTGTAAAAAGAAAAAAGAACTTTTACACAAACATTTACTGATACGTTATAAAACTTTTTTATATTAATAATGCAATAAAAATAAATGATGTATTTAGTAATTTTTTAAAATTTTATAGCAAAAACAGCAATTAACAATTATTACACTCCTCTTTAAAATTAAATTAATTATTTCGGGGAACAAATGAATTACAATTACCAAAAAATAAAATCACTAGAGCACAGCAACATGCCTCAATTTTTGGCGAAAAATAATACCTAATCTTTTTTTTCCTTTTAAATAAAATACTGTGCGTATATTAAATCGAAAATAGAGCATAAATCTTACACAAAATGTTATATAAATATAAATATTGTTTATTTTGAATAATATTTCTGTCTCCGGTGCTAATAATAAATATTTTAATTAATCTCCGTCTTGAATACATGAAAAACAAATCTGTTAAGATTTTGATCTCAACGAAAATAATAATTAAAAATAATTTTCATAAAAGTACAATCTTCAGCCATAACTCGGGATGGAAGGTTTAAAATAAAAATAAAAACTATATCATGTTCAAATTGCAATATCATAGAAAATCTTGAATAAAAATTATTGTCAAATCACAATTATGTCGTAAAGTATAAATTTTGTTGTCACCTAAAATTTCCTTTGTCTATAAATCTTTCTTAACATGGATTTAATCATAAATATAGATTTTATTTTTTTATATTAGAAAAACTCTATATTTTGTAAGGGCATTTCCCCTCTCTCATATAAAGAAACTCAATTTTATCATCATGTATTTCAAATTTAGGGATACGAAATCCTTTAATTTAAGAATACTAATTTATCTAGCACACACATACTAAAATTATTTTCCCAAGGAATTCCGTAAGTTTTTTAAGCAGAAGATTACTCTAAAGGCTCATTAAATATTATCATACAAATAAATAATAGATCATTTCATGTTTTATTTAGTATGATTGTAATCAATTTAACTATGATGATTTTATCATTTTTTATTTTAATATTTTCTCTCTCTTTCTCTCATCTATCGTTATTGTATTTGGCTCAAATTTGAACTCACAATTAATCTAATCCGATTAAAAATTTTATTTTTTACTATTTTATTTTTTGCTTTTTTTAAGGTTAGGCAATTCATTCCATAATATAAAGCGATTTAAATCAAAACTTATCCCGACTGTCACAACAACAAAGGATAGATATAAAGCCTACCCAAGTGTAGTGGTTTAGTTGGTAGCATGGGGACTGAGTGGTGGGAGAGAACCTCGGTTCGAATCCCACCAACACCATCTCGGGAGGGGCATAAGTACCGTAATCCTTGGACTCGCACCCGAACTCTGAATTAGTCCTATAGGCGGTTCAAAGAGTCGAACCCGTGGAGATACTGGAAGATTCTGATTCGCCTCAAAGAAATAATTAATATCAGTTTCCAAAAAAAAATTATAAAGCCTTAGAGCTTGTATTCCATCACTGTTATTTCCATGTTTGTTTGAGAGAATTGTTTTTTATTTTTATTTTAAGCTCGATGCTATCACTAGTA